CATTGAGGTTCTGCAACACTTGCATGAGTGTCCGATAAATAGTCGTCTTGCCGCCGCCAGTCGGGCCGACTAGCATGACGCCGTGCCTCACTAAGAGGGTCTCCCAGAACTGGATAACTTTGGAGGTTTGGGCGTCGACCACCTGTAGGCCAGCCTGCTGAATTGCCAGCTCAATTTCAGCCTTGAATCGGCCATAATCATGATCGGGCAGCTGAACGCTCGGGAACAAATCTTGGAGAATAGCCTGTTTTGACGCATCGGGTATAGAAATGAAAGCAAACAAAATCAGGGGAAATAAAATAAGATAAGATAAAATGAAATGGATGAAATAGATAAAAAGCTTGACAATGCATGAAACACAAGGTGGCTTGGGGAAGTAGGGAGGATAGCCGAAGGTATAAAGACCAAGATATTGTTGCCCCATCTTTAGTTACCAGAAGGCCCCGGAAAAGGTATCCTCTCTGGGGTCCTCTTTCATGGTAGTCATGATAATTTCCGGCTTAATGCCGATTGCTTGGTACGTTGCAATAGGCTCTCGGCATCGTAGCCGGAGTCATCGTTGTGTTGTTATTCGTGGAACTGACACTGGAAATTATGCTAGTTCTGTACGTATTGACTAGGTTTTGGAACTATCGGTGGATTTTGAATTTTAGTTGCATTCACCCTAGGTCGCATAAGGTATTTCTTATTACAAAGTACAGTGTGAAATTGAATGGAAACGTGGGGCCTAATCATATAATGGAAAAACTTAAGTATCCTTTATAATCTTATGCTAGCGGTGGTGACTAAGGCTCTTATGTTACAGCAGTCTGGCTATGCATACCTGATTTATATACGACTTCTACCCTAGATTCTTTCGTATTCTGTCCTAAATTTCCGTCTAAGAGCAGTTTACATTGTAATGCTAGACTAGGAAGTTGGGTCATTTTATTTCCTTTTTCTGGCTTTCCTTCGACGTATAGAATCCTCCTTGACGACTCGAGGATCTCGTGGAGTTTCATAGGTTCAACACGCAGGAAGTCCCACTCTTAAACTGTCTAAGGCAATCCTCACTCAGACAAAATGGAAAATTGAGCGTTAAGGCAAAGGAAGTTATGACCTTGAATAGGACCGCATCATCCTTGAGAAACTTTGGCAGATTGCTGTCACGAAGTGCCCGAATAAGCACCACTTCTTCTGGTTTGTCCAAATTTTCACGCTTCAATGAACCTGCCATCACGAGGACTGATTTGACTGCA